CAGTTCCAGCTGAGAAGTAGTCTGAGTTTCAGCCTACAGAACTCTTCCCTACCATGACCCTCTTTAGAAGTTGCCTTCCTATCTTGCTGTACCCCCCACCAAATACTACTGAGTGACTTTTTCTTCTTCGTCCCTCCCTCCCTCCCTCCCTCCCTCTTTCCCTCCCTCCCTCCCTCTCTCCCTCCTTCCTCTCCCTCCCTCCCTCCTTCCCTCCTTCCCTCCTTCCCTCCTTCCCTCCTTCCCTCCTTCCTTCCCTCCTTCCTTCCTTCCTTCCTTCCTTCCTTCCTTCCTTCCTTCCTTCTTCTTTTTATATTTAAAATTGTAACTATCTAAGTAAGAACAGTATCAAAATATTCACCATCTTGATGATGGTCTCCAGCTCCTTCATTTCATTTAACACAATGGCTTAACTATAACAGGTGATGAACCAATTGAACATTTCATTTGTTCAAAATTTCATTCATTTAGTACAATTGTTATGGGAAAACGGCAGCAGAGGAATTATAGTTACTTTGGTTTTTGTCTCACATGGAAGAAGAATTTCCAAGTAGACAAGAGATTTAAAAGTATTTATTAGAATCAAGGACCTCTAGCCAGAGCAGCATGAAGCAGGGCTTCCAAGAGAGGAAAGAACCCCACAAACTTCCTAGCATTTGGATTTTAAGTACAATTTCAAAGGAAAGAAACCTTGACAATCAGATTGGTATTCAGTTACCAGGTGGGGACAAAAATCATCAAAAGACCTGATTTACAATCCTTTATCCTATCTGGTTGCTCATGCTAAAACAAACAACCAAAAAACCATCCAGAAGGCTGGGATAGGTAACCTGCCTTCACAACAAACTGAGAACTCAGATGCCATCTCCACCTTCCTTGCTATTCTCATGGTAAATTTGTAAATTTGAAGATTCCTAAGGAAGCAGACACTTTGATCAGCTAAGCTTTTGAAAAAGGAAGCAAATATTTTACACCCCAAATTCCATTGGGATCCCCTGACCCATCTGACTCCTCACACAATATATATATATCCTCACAGGATACCTCTTATGCTGAATGCTACACAGCTAGAGAAGAACACTAAACACAAAGCAAATAATTCTTTTGTGACATCAGCAAAATTACCGTGTTATTATATATGACTAAAGTGAAATAGATGAGCTCAGCAGGGAAGATAGCAAGATTTGGGAAAGCAGGTTTTTAAGACCTATTGATGCTCTAAGTGATAAGTAATTGTTAATTTTGTTTGTGAAGTTAATTATCTAGCAGGAGAATGCAGAAATCAACCATATTTCTGTAGACATCAATAAAATTTATAGTTCATCTAGAACAGCTCTATTTCTTTTCTTAATAATAAGGAGAAGTATCTTGTAAATAAACGGAGTTTAAGAATTCTGTGATCCAGCATTACCACTACACTGTATTTATGCAATAGAAACAAAATTACTATATCAGAGAGATAGGTCCACTCCAGTTTTTTGTTTTTTGTTTTTGGTTTTTGGTTTTTTTTTTTTCTTGCCACAGCACATAGGATGCCAGTGTCTTGAGTTTATCAATACACAATTATAATTGTACCAAACTGTCATACCACACCCCTTAAAATGTGCAGTTATTTTCTGCTACTGAAAAAATTAAAGTTGTATAATGACTCAAACTGAAGAAAAAAGTATTGATGGAAAACAGCACGGTGGAGAAAGAGTGCAGAACAAAGAGATCAGCTAGAACTTTCTATCTATTTATTACAGTAAATTCTGGTACCTCTTATTTTAAATTTGTATTAAAATTAAAATATTAAATATTACATTATATGCTAAATTAAAATGTACCTACATGAAGATTAATAATAATAGAATTATCTATTGGTTTACTTTCCCTTTTTATGCAATAATAGAAAAACTGAGACTTTTGAGTTTCTCACTCTTCCTCTTGCTTCTTTCCCTTATTGTTGATAGAGCTATCAGTGTGTTTTAAAAAATTATAAAACAATCATGCTTATGTAAGTATGATTATCTCCCAAGCCATGATTTATAGAAAGAAAATAGATAGGGGCCAACATTGTAACACACCAGGTTAAAACTCTTTTCTATATTGATGCACCAGTTGGAGTCCCAGCTGCTTCATTTTTGATCCAACTTCCTGAAAATGCATCTAGAAATGTTAGGTAGGAAGTCAGAAATGAGCTTATGTGTGTGTGACAAAGGCCTAAGGAATTGACATCTAGGTCCAGCATCCGCATCTCAAAGTCATCCCAATAATCTTCCAGGTGCAGCCCAGTATCTGCACTTCAAACGTCCTGCCTGGATCCTGATGACCTTCCAGAGGGTCCTGCCCCTTCTACCTGGTAACAATCCTTCCTCTGAGGCGGGGTGATGTCAGCCAGGCTTCCTCTGTCTGATAGCATCAGGGAAAAACTCAGAAAGGAATTTTTTGTATTTATACCCTGGACTCCTGGCACCTGGCTTCTGCCTTCTGCCTCTACCTCTTTCTCATTCTTTCTCTATCCATTTGTCTTTCAAGTAAATAAACTACTAAATAAGTAAAATTTTTAAGAAGCAAAGAAATGGCAGATTTAATTTTTTAAATATGAAGAAAACACTCCCTGAATACAATTTAGAAAATAAAATATGAGGTAAAAATAAAATCACCATAATCCCATGCTCAAAATTGAATTATTTTATTCACTTCAGCTTCGTTCCTTCCATTTTGAAATAATACCTTTTTTTGTTAAATTGAATGGGCACAACTTCTGTAATCATTACAGGTATTTTTATTTTTCTGTCTTTTTATATTTTATTCAGTAAGAAAGATTTCCCCCAGCCACTGGACAAAGCATCCTTGAGGCTACATTTTATTTAATCTGAAGCAATACAAGTTTATTGGGCTCTCAAGCATTGTCTCTATTCAAAATTTGAATGCTGTGTTTAGTATAATAAACAGAATTCTATACTTGATTTATGACTAACTTTTCTCCCTATTTCTTGTTCGGGTCCCCATTAGGTTGGAATGCTACAATGGTCTTGGGTAAAAGGTTATTCTCCTTCTATATTGCCAGCTGATCTTAAGCTCCGCTGTTACTAGGAGTTGGAGAAGGAGAGCCAAAGAAAACATGGCCTCTTTGAAATGTTGTTCTTGAAAGCAAGTTCTATGCTCCATGTAGTCTGGTTTAGCAAGATTGATCTCCTCCCCTTGATTTCAGTTAAGTACACTTCTATCCTTGATAGTCATTTGGGAACCTTTCTAAAACCATGAATTTCATCGGCATGTCTTGTGGCTGGTGTCTCTCCACTACTGTAGAGAACCAGATTATTAAGAATCACACTGATTTTTCTGCTAAAAACATCTAGTCTGTGGAAACATTGCTTGCATTTATGTTGCATGTCCCAAAAAGACCTGGTTATGCACGTCAGTCCCAATATGTCACCCTCTGTTACCTATAACCTAAAAAAGTTATGATCCTTTACTTTTTCATGTGAATGTCTTAGTATTGCTTTATGCTAGGAAAATTCATCATCATTTTGAAGTCTAAATTTATATTTTCTTTTCAAATAAAAATTGAGAAAAGGATTTCTCTTTTATTTTCCCTATAAATGCTGCAAATTGTTTGACTTCATATTTGTTTAGATTGCTCTTTGATTGAGACAGTTTTATTTTTAAAAATGAAATCAAGCTCTCTGATTTTGTCATTATTTCTGCTTAGAAAGCAGAAACAGATATTGCTTGATATCAGGAAATTTCTCTTTTGCTTAAATGTTCTTTTCCATTTACTTGAATGACATCAAGCTCTCCTTACTATCTTCATATTTTGGTGCTTCTTTAACAACTCTTCCACTTGACCATAATAATTGAATGTTAGAGTCATTTGAGATTCTATTTGAGATCTGTTTGTCTTCGTGGTAGAATCTCATCCATCCCTATGAAATCAGCTGCTATCTATAGACAGACAATTGGCATATTTGTACCTTCTTTGAAGAGTTGTCTTTGACCTCTAAACATAAATTCACTTTTTCTATTTAATCCCTTCATCTGTAAATCAGTCCTTCATATTTAAATAGTAATATCCATTGTTCTCCAACATACTTTTTGTCCCACAATGCTCCTTATTTCAGCAAAAAATTCAAAGCTCAGAGGGGTCTTCAAACAGTGTATAGGAATTTATATTATGCAAAAATTGTGCATTGATTTAAAATCTTTATTTGGTGGAGAGTTTGCTTGTGATTATAAAATAAAGTATGTCATTGTAAAAATTAGAAGAAAAAATAAGAAAGGAAGGAGAGGGGAGGGTGGGAGTATGGACAGGATGGAAAGTATGGTGAGAAGTATCATTTATGCTCTTAAATCTGTATATATGGGCCGGTGCCGTGGCTCAATAGGCTAATCCTCTGCCTGTGGCACTGGCACTCCAGGTTCTAGTCCCGGTCAGGGTGCCGGATTCTGTCCAGGTTGCCCCTCTTCCAGGCCAGCTCTCTGCTGTGGCCCGGGAGTGCAGTGGAGGATGGCCCAAGTCCTTGGGCCCTGCACCAGCATGGGAGACCAGGAGAAGCACCTGACTCTTGCCTTCGGATCAGCGCGGTGCGCCGGCCACAGCGCGCCGGCCACAACGCGCCAGCCACAGCGCGCTGGCTGCAGCGGCCATTGGAGGGTGAACCAACGGCAAAGGAAGACCTTTCTCTCTGTCTCTCTCTCTCTCACTGTCCTCTCTTCCTGTCCAAAAAAAAATCTGTATATATGAAATATATGAAATTTTTTCAGTATATATAAATACAACATTTTTTAAAGAAGAAAAAATTAAAACCCTATTTTAATTCCATTTTTCCACAACCTTTCAGAATTTGCCTATTCTCATGGTTTGTTCTTAGTGTACATGAAATCTGCAATTCACTGTGCTTATTCTTAGCTCATATATTCAATAAATCATGATATTAGCTCTTAGTCTAAATATCTTAAATCCATTAATTTCTCTACATTTCATTTGTCATCATCCTAACCATTATTAAAACCATTACCTTGATCATCATGTCATCTTCTAGCCTAGATGAAGTTTCATTCAAGGTAGTTTTCTACAATAAAATTGACAAAACAATTATTGATTATTGGATTCCTTTGTCTAAATATTTACATTTACCCTCTACTTTTATTCAGACTTCAGATTATTATGTTTCATGATATGCTACAGTCCAATGATATAATCATACTTGTGTATGTAATCATATTTTCATCAGAAGCATTTCGACGATAGTGGCTTATTTTTTGTGTTCTTTCTAGTTTAAAGGCTGTTTCATGTACAACCTTATCCCAACCACAAACTATTTGCCTCCTTTCCATCAACCCCTACACTACACACACACAGATACTCTTGGCCTAGTTGATATTCTACTTTGTGTAACTTCCTTTAGGAAGGTTTCTTAATCTTAGACAAGTTTCTTTTTTGTCAAAAACTATATTCATTTTAATCATATATCTCATCTTTATCATTTTTCTATGTCTCTAATGCTGACTGAAAGTGTATAAATCATGCATACTTTATCCATTACTGTATGTTCAAGGTCTAGAACAGTGCTTAACACTGAATATGTGCTTAGATATATATTGAAAAACAAAAATGCAGCTATAGCAAAGCTGTAGTTCAAGACCAATAGACTGAATGATCAGAATCGGTGACGAAGTAAAAGAAAATAGTTCTTGTTTTTAATTCTTATGGGCTGTTATAGCAGTATAAAAAAACTTCCAGAAGAGTTTTTAGAAATGTGCAAAACATTCTGTGCAAGGTGACTGGTGAAACTCTGCAGCTAGAAACAAATAAAAGTAAAGCTTGAATATTCTTTTCTATAAGACAATTCCTCACCTCACATTACCAGATTAAATATACCTGTATAGGTTTATATATCACTCTATCCAACCAGAGAGACAGAGATGAGGAGAAGAACTGGAATAAATATATAACAGATTTATCACTGAGTGGTAGAACTTAAGAAACTTAAAAATATTCATTTTACTCTTGGTATTTGCATAAGACTATACACATATTTAACTTCATAATCATAGTATATCACCAGATATAAAGTAATATTAAACAAAAGTCTGCAGCAAACACACATTTACATAGATTCAACCAATGTTTATTCAATGTGCTAGAAGCACTGTTAAACTTAACGTTACAGTTTTAATTTTGAATCGGATGTTTTTCATTTGTGTTCCCAAAAGAATCAAATATAAAGCACAAAAAATTAAGAAATTAGTCATTGTTTAAGTTTTATTTAAGTTATACAAGTTTCATGCATTTCAACATACAGATTTAGGACCAAAGTGACACTTCCTCCCTAACCTCCCTCCCATCCATGCTTCAATACTTCCTCCTCCTCCCTCTCTTGTTTCCACTCTTAATTTTTTTAAAGTTTTTTTTTTTTTTTTTTGACAGGTAGAGTTATAGACATTGAGAGAGAGAGAGACAGAGAAAAAGGTCTTCCTTCCGTCGGTTCACCTCCCAAATGGCCACTATAGCTGCCGCTGCGCTGATCCAAAGCTAGCATCCAGGTGCTTCTTCCTGGTCTCCCATGTGGGTGCAGGGGCCCAAGCACTTGAGCAATCCTCCACTGCCTTCCCAGGCCACAGCAGAGAGCTGGACTGGAAGAGGAGCAACCAGGACTAGAACCCAGTGCCCATATGGGATGCCGGCGCTGCAGGCAGAGTATTAACCAAGTGAGCCATAGCACTGGCCCTCCCCACTCTCAGTTTTTACAATGATCTATTTTCAGTTTGCTTAGTGATCATATAGATAATCCTACACTAAGTAAAAGAGTTCAATATAGTATGAAGAGAAAAAAAATAACAAAACACTGTACCTCTATGGAATAGACAAGGGCTGTAAACAATCATCAAATCTTAAAATGTTAATTTCACTCCAACACATACATTTTAGGTAACCTATTGGATATATTAGATCAGGGAAAATGTATGCTATTTGTCTTTTGGGGACTAGCTTATTTCACTAAGTATAATGGTTTCCAGTTGTGTCCATCTTGTTGCAAAAGACAAAATTTCTTTATTCTTATAACTGAGTAGTATTCCATAGTGTATATATACAATAATTTCTTTGTCCAGTCAACAATTGATGGACATTTGGGTTGATTCCATATCTTAGTTATTGTAAATTGTGCCTCAATGAACAAGTGGGTACCAAAAACCCTTTCATGTAATGGTTTTGTTTGGTTTGGGTAAATTCCCAGGAGTAGGTTGGCTGGATTATGGCAAGTCTATATTCAGATTTCTGAGGTATCTCCATACTGTCCTTTTTAGTCGCTGCACCAGTTTACATTCCCATTTTTCCTACATCCTTGCCAGCATTTGCTGTTGTTTGTTTTTCTATGACAGCCATTGCAACTGGACTGAGGTGAAACCTTATTATGGCTCTGGTTAAAACTTCCACGACTAATGTTAGCCATCGGAATTGTCTCTTGAAAAATTCCTATTCATGTCCTTTGCCCATTTCTTAACTGGACTATTTTGTTAATGTTGGATTTCTTTATCAGTTGTATAGTTTGCAAATATTTTCTCCCATTCTGTCATTTTCCTCTTCACTTTCCTGAGTGTTTCTTTTGTAGTGCAGAGGCTTCTCAGCTTGATGGAATCCCATTTGTCAATTTTGGCTTTGATTGCCTGTGCTTTTGGGTCTTTTCTAAGAGGTCTTTGCCTATGCCAGTGTTTTTCAGTTTCCCAAATGTTCTGTAGTAATTCAATGGTATCAAGTCACAGATTTAGGTCTTTGATCTAGTTTGAGTGGATATTTTTTATTAGGTGTAAGGTATGGGTCAAGTTTCATATTTCTGAATATGGAGATTAAGGTTCCCCAGCACAATTTGTTAAAGAGATTGTTCTTGCTCCAAGGATTGATGTTAGCTCATTGGTGAAAGAATAGTTCATTGTAGATGCATGGATTTATTTCTGAAGTTTCTATTCTCTATACATCTGTTTATGTGCCAGTACCAGGTTGTTTTGTTTAGAACTGTCCTATAGTATGTCTTTTTTTAAAATTTATTAATTTACTTGAAAGTCTGAGTTACACAGAGAGAGAAGGAAAGGCAGAGAGAGAGAATGAGATATCTTCCATCTGCTGGTTCACTCTCCAATTGGCCGCAACAGCCGGAACTGTGCCAATCTGAAGCAAGGAGCCAGGAGATTCCTCCGGGTCTCCCACATGGGTGCAGGGGCCCAAGGACTTGGACCATCTCGTACTGCTTTCCCAGGCCACAGCAGAGAGCTGGATTGGAAGTGGAGTAGCCAGGACTCTAACCTGTACCCATACGGGATGCTGGCACTGCAGGTAGCAGCTTTACCCTCTATACCACAGTGCTGGCCTCTGTAGTTTGTCTTGAAATCAGGTATTGTGATGCCTCTGTCATTGTTTTCTTGTATAAGATTGCTTTAGTGATTCAGATTCTCTTGTGTTTTCATAAGAATTTTAGCATCCTTTTTCTGTGTCTGTGAAGAATGTGTATTTTGTGCTATTTTGATTAGGATTGCATGCAATCTATAAATTGTTTTTGGTGGTATGAACTTTTTGTTGATGTTGATTCTTCCAATCCATTAACAGGGAAAATTTTCCCATTTTAATATTTTCTTGTATTTCTTTAGTGTTTTCATTGACATCATTGGTTAAATCAATTCCAAGTTATTTAATTATTGTTGGAGCTCTTGTGATTGGGAATGATCTTAAAAGTTCTTTCTCAGGCATGACATTTTTATATCCTGACACTTTACCAAACTCTTTTATAAGATCCAATAGTCTCTCAGTGGAGTCTGTTGATCCCCTATATATAGAAGCATGTCATCTGCAAATGGAGATATTTTGATTTCCTCCTTTCCAATTTATATATCTTTGATTTCTGTTTTCTTGCCTGATGGCTTTGGTTAAACTTCCAGGACTATATCTCTGGTTAAAACTTCCAGGACTAAATTGAATAGCAATGGTGAGAGAGGGTATCCTTGTCTGCTTCCAGATCTGATAGGGTATATTTCCAGCTTTTCCCCATTCAACATGATGCTGGCCATGTGTTTGTCATAAATTGCCTTAATTGTGTTGAGGAATGTTTCTCCTATACCCAATTTGGTTTATATTTTCATTATGAAAGGATGTTGTCTTTATCAAATGCTTTCTCTGCATCTATTGAGATAATCATATGGTTTTGGTTCTTCAGTTTGTTAATGTGATGTATCACATTAATTGGTTTGAGAATATTGAACCATCCACGCTTACCAGGGATAAGTCCCTCTTTGCCTGGTAAATGATCTTTCAGATGTATTGGATTTTGATTAGCTAATATTTTGTTGAAGACTTTTGCATCTATGTTCATCAGGGATATTGACCTATATTTCTCTTTCTCTATTGTATCTTTTTTCTGGTTTAGGAATTAAGATGATGCAGGCTTCACAGGAGGAGTTTGGGAGGATTCCTTCCCTTTCAATTGTTTTGAGTAGCTTGAGAAGAATTGGAATTATTTCTTCTTTAAGTGTCTGGTAGAATTCATCAGCGAAGTTGTCCAGTCCTGGACTTTTCTTTCTTTGGAGGATCTTTATTAATGACTCAATTGCCGTCTTTTTTATTCTTCTGTCTAGGTTTTCTGTGTCTTCATGACTTGATTTTGGTAGATTGTATATGTGTATGAATCTATCCATTTATTCTAGGCTCCTCAATTTATTAGAGCTGTATGCTCTTTGTAGTAATTCCTGATGATTCCTTTTATTTCTGTGATTTCCGTTGTTAACATTTCCTTTTTCACTTCTGATTTATTGATTTAGGTTAGTGTGGCCAATGGTGTATCAATTTTGTTAATTTTTTAAAAGAACCATCTCTTCGTTTCACTGATCTCTTATGTTGATTTTTTAATTTAAATTTTCTTAATTTCTTCTCTAATTTTAATTATTTCTGCCCTCCTACCAATTTCAGGTTTGGTTTCTCTTTTCTAGCTTCTTGAGATGCATTGATAACTCATTTATTTGGTACCTTTCCTATTTCTTCATGTAGGTACCAATTGCTATAATCTTCCCTCTTAACTATTGCATT